ATTCCCAACACAAATGCACAATTGTTGTTTGAATTGCAGGAGAAATTGCATGACAGACAATTTAAGGCGATACACTTGAACAGTACAATTGCATTTTAACAATAAGTCGTCTTTCTTTGACAGATTGTTCATAATATGTTCTTTCCTCAGCTCTAACATATTACTTGCTCCATAGAAAAGCAAACACACTAAATACACTCCATTTTGAAATTGCTCATTGTCATCGTCTGTGTTTTTGAACAAGCGGATGCGCTTTCATTCCGATTTTCCGTCATTGTCATAAAAATATTAAGTAATTGATATTGAATTTCATGCGGCATATATGTGTAAATTCTTAATATATAAAATAAACGCAATAACAAATTTTTCAATAAAATAAAATTATTCTTAAAAAAATCTTGTTTAATTTCCTCAACGCAAAAAGCGCATCCATTTATGTATATGACAATTTATTACCATGTAAAGTGTTTAAGATATTAAAATTTACAATAAATAAAATTTATATTTTTTTTTTTATTTCAGATTGTACCGTCCGTCCAGTCAAAGAATATTCAATTTTAGGTTGTAAAAATTAAACTCAAAAAGTCTAGGAAGTTCGACAACGCTTGAGAACCGATGTAAATGAAGACGTACTAGTACTGACAATGAGTTGCACGGTGACTAGCAGCAAATCGTTTGAAGGATGCGTTGCAGGAATTTGTATGAGGAATCCGTCCAAACGCCTATCAGCCACAAAGTGAATTCCATCGGGTTACGCACCGACGGTATTCGTGAGTATCGGTTCTCTCTATCTACACTTCTCGACAATTGATTAATTCCGGCAATTGTTACAGCTAGTCGCGGATATGTGAAACCGTCGTGAAACCGAAGTATTTCGCAGTTTTATCACGTCCTTTCTTTTGAAAGAGGTTCCTTTGGACCTTTCCTGATTGGGCGCGACTGTCCATAAGTCATGTATACTACTGATGACGGATGAAATCGTACGGTTAACTGTACCATAAAAACTGTCCATGAAGGACTAGTTGATCCCGAATGTAGAAGCAGCGAATAAAGTGCTGCTTGTGCGCTCGGAATCACTATCATTCGATTGCAATTGCCAGGTCGAAGACCATTGTATGAAGCGCATCTAAATGTGTAACGACCGCTTCATCAACGATCCTCGGAAAAAGGCAATTGTCGGAGATAAAAGGCGGGCTGATCGTGCGTATTTTATCAAATTTTATGTCGCTAGTTATACGATCACGAGACATAGGCTTTGCACGATTATAATTTATTGAATTACTCTCATTCTCTGTGGACTCGAGCATTTGAAAAATCAAAATATCTACAGATCATCTACAGATTATGAAATATAATAACAAATCGTTCAATTTGTCGTGTTTATTATGCATTCACATTACGTCTGAGCAATATTTTCGTAAATTGTGTAATCGTTTTAGAGCAAATTAATATTTTACATTAATTTTGGAATATATTGGGAATTAATTAAATGAAACGTAAATTTTAAATGTATACTTGTTCATATATATATCTCTACGTGTAAAAGAGATGCATCGCGTATGTATAAAAGAAATATAACTCGGAAAGAAATATTACTTTTCTGAAATTGTTCCCTCGGTTTTTCAATCTAAAATAGCTGTGCAACGAGTGAATAAATATTGTGCTTGCATGAATTCATGTCTGCGAGAATTCTAGCACTTCTGATCGGCTTCCACGATGTGACATAACGTGACAATTTTACAACTGCGCATGCAGAACGATGAGAGCCTCTCTTATCCTTCTCCTCTCCTATAAAGTTACATCAGGTAATAAATTTTATCCGTATCAACGGCAGAGTGGATGCGCTACTTCCTCCCGACGAGCGCAGATGTAAGATTCACGTATTTCATATAAATGTATACATCACTGCCATTTTGAAGAGAAATGTATCGCGTGAAACAATTCCTTTGGAAGAGCGCGATGATAAACGTCATTCTCCTCTTCTCTCGTTCCTCTAACTTTCTGCCAGCAAAAATAAAAGAACGAGAAACACAACGCAGGATATAATGTATCACGACAATTGTATGTTACGGAAATGCTCTTGGCGAAAACCGACTTGATTCTGAAAAATTCTCAATGAAAGATTACAATAATCTTTGCATTTTTGTAAACCAAAACTGTTATCGGGCATTTGATATCATAAAACTTATTTTTCGAGAAGTTATTCACTTAAGAGAAATCGCAGATAGATATATACCGAATTATATTCGTTAGTTGCGTTTCGCGCAAAACGTGTCATAATCGCTCCTATAAATCATCCTTGCAATTAAGTTATTGCAAACTGCTAGACGTTGTTCGGTCATCATGCGCGGTCTCATAGGAAATCATAATATCGGCAGATAGAAAGTATTGCGAACACATACGAAATAATGCGCAAAACTGCTGTAAAAATTTACGCGCGCTTTGGGACGCGAATTCCAGTAGAATAGCAAGAGATTGAACGATATCGGGTCAACTTCGATACCAATTCTAGGTTTAAATGCGTTTCATCGATAAATCCTCAATTTTAAAAAACTCAATATAAATATAAATATGTACTTATGATATTTTTAAATCGTATATTATTTTGTAGAAAATTTTAATTTTATTCCAGAGCGTGAAATTTTTTCTTATAGAATCTATCCCTGTTAGTTTTACAATTTCGCGATATAGATTTTTCTGATTCTTCCTCAATGAATGATAAAACTTCGACAATTGAATGAAAAAAAAATAGAAATTCGAAGATGTATGAAATACTAAATTCAACTTTTTGTTATACGAAAATTATTAATAATCTTTTAATTTCAATCAGGATCGATTCAGAATAACAATATTTTTTAGTACAACAAATTCTTAAGACGCTTTCTAGATTTCCAAGAAAACATCAGATTTTTGAAAATATATTTTTTATTGAATTCTTATAAATAGTTCATAATCGCTATCGAAGGAAAGAATATGTGGATGTAAATTATTGAAAAAGTGGACAAGAGTACAGATGAAAATCACATCCCATGGCATAACAAATTGGAATTGTAAATATATATATTTCCCTGTATAAAAATATAATGTACAAATTGATTCATTTTTAAACTAATATCAAAAAGTAGTAACAATAGAACACTGTTATACAAATGTTCCTCTTCGCATCCGAGAAACATTTTATTTCTCTTATACTTTCAATAGAAAAGTATATCGCAAAGAGATCTAGGAAGAGAACACATAGATTTCTCATCAAATTAATGTATCACATGATGTTTCCCAATCTGTTCAACGATCCAAATAGACATTATCCTAGCAAGTAATAAATTTTGTAAATTGCCCGTCAATGGAGAAGAATTTTATATATGTACAATTACGAAATTGACGTATGTACACCAGCACACGATAAAAAAGATATAAATCGCCCGTTTCTTTATCGAATTAATTTCGAATCGTATAAACTGTTTGAATCAGAAATAATTACACTATTTGTGCAATATATTCAATAATTATACCATTGTGTAACGCACGAAATTCAGAAAACTCGTTGCATATAATCATTAAAAATACCCAATTATATTCGCAGGATCGAAAACATAATTACGATACCACGATATATCTACGGTTCGTCGAAAAAGATATAAAGCCAATATTGAGCAATGAAATAATTATCGAACATTGCACGTTCAAACGCATTCAACGACCGAATTCATTAGTCGACCGAATTTACATGCCGTTGTAAGCTGGCCCGCCGCCACCCTCAGGCACGACCCAATTGATGTTTTGGCTCGGATCCTTGATGTCGCAAGTCTTGCAATGAATGCAATTCTGCGCATTTATCTGCAATCTCTCGCCGTCTCCGCTTTCCAATGGCACGAATTCATAAACACCTGAAAGCAGATTACACATACGCGTTTCGAACTTACAAAACCGACATGCATCCCGGCATCTTCCAATCCGAACGATTGCACCGGAGGATCGAGATAGATATGTACCGGAGGTAAATATATATCCGGAAATCACCGAAAAATCATTCGACATGCTAAGCAACAAAATTTACTATTTTAAAATTTACTAATATAATAATACGATAAATTAATTCACTACTACTCTATTATTTTCATGCATTACTGTTGTACGAAAATATTAAAAATCTCGCGATATGAAGAACGCTTTATTCGGTACGATTTATTCAACAGATACGTATATCCTCGACTCTGCGGAGTGTGAGGTTTACACCGCGAAGGTCACATCGTGTCCTCGGCCAGACAGTCGATAACCTGGTCCCCACCATCTTCCAGACGGCGCAGCTATCCTGTAGGAAAGCTCCCAGACGAGCTTCTCGCCAATGCCCCGGGTCCGTGAAGGGAAACAGGAAGACGTAACCCCAGAGACGGAAAAGAGAGACCAGAGAATGAAGAAGGAATACGTCGTAAAAATCAAGGGTGGGTGTTCGAGGAACAATGGTACAAGGATAGACGCATAAATTTATCTAGTTCGAAAGCAACATGATGTGTATAGAATGTCCATATAAACTTTCAGACATAAATGACAGAGTTTAAATGAAAAAAATGCCGATTGTTGCAAAGTTGTAGCACCAATAGATTTCGAATCGTACAAGTTTCAATAAGTCAGAATATCGAGAATTTGACCAAATAATAATTGTAGGTTGACAACAATCGAGAGTTACAAAATTCTGTTCAGCTCTCTAAAAATTTCGTATGAATTTTACTCCGCTAGGATTTTAATTTTAATAAAATTCCAAGACATTTAACATTCAAAGAAAGAAATTATGACAACCTATCATTAAAAAAATCAATATCTCAGATTCATAAAAAATATGATGAAATTATTATTAATGTAATATAATTTAATTTGATTGCAATCGCCCTGTCTATAGATACAGATCGCTGTCTAGACAAACATACTAATGTAATTTCTCGTAGCAATGACGATCCTTGCGTTTCTTATTATATATCTCTAATTCAATCCCAGTTTTTGTACTGTGAATGTAGTACTGGCTTTGAATTTCTCGTATTGCAGCAACAACAGCTCGACAATTTTCCGTAGTATAATTATATAATATTATTAAATTTAATGATAATTAGAGTTGCATTATGTATGTGACGCAGAAATAATTTTCCTGAACTAAAGGTATGTTTATTCTCTTTTATTAAATATGTCTTATGAAAAGAGAATAAACTTCTTTAATTCAGCAAAATTATTTTTGCGTTGCGTACATAAGGCAACTTATATGTAATATGAGAAATTACATCCATGTTATGATAATATACTACAAATTTTAAAAGATCAATGACTAATTCTATGAATAAATCGAAACACCTTTCATTATTAATGATATATTACAGGATCAATGATAGAAATTGTCAAAGAACAAAGAGAGAAAGGATAAATCGGCGGCAAGGTTGTTGGCCGGAGCTACAGAGCGCTGTTCGATTTTGGGGATTGAGCTTGGTCCGGGGTTGTCTAGCCATGCGGGGGTTGTCCGGGTGGCTCAGGTTCAAGGACACAACGGTCGATAAACCCCCGACAAGACTGGAAAAAGGGAGGGGACGGAGACATGGTTTGAGGGCGGAAGAGGAAGGAGCTGGATTGCCTGCAGACTGCGGAAATTTATCGCGGACAAAATTGATCGCTTCGTAATATTCTTAAAATGCCGAATAATTTTACATAAAAGAGATTTTCGCGAACAAGAGAATTTATATTAGTTATATGTTTTATTAAACATATTAATATAAATTCGCTTTTCGCTGAGTTAAACGTAAAACTTATTATAATTGTAATAAATCTATTTAGCTTTCAACTTTTTTACTTCTTACATGCATACACGACTTTACACGAATATTTGATAAAATCATATATGTACGTAAGAAATAAAAATGTTGAAAGCTAAATAGATTCATTGCAAATATAATAAATTTTATGTTTACCTCAACAAATTTTAATAACAGATCCTAAAACGGACTTCACCTTTTTTCAATGGATACATAGCAAGCAATTTGTCTACCGGAAAAAATTCAAAAAAATTACTTTAAAATTTTTTGTGTCTATTCAATATTAAAAAATGAAATGAAATAAAAGTAGTAGAGTATAAAATTACGCGGAACAAACTTCGCAATGCAGTAAATTTATTTTTTCATCATAATGTATTGAATTTTTCTATTTATACCAATAACCTAAGCTTTTTAAACATTCTTGAGTAAATTGATTTCAATTAATAAGCGCTTTTAGCATTCGCGCGGAACAAATACTTGTATTTTATTAAATACATCTAATTCAAATCAAGCACAAACAAATAAGAGATAACTGTGAAATACATTTATATTTTGTAATTAATAAATTTATTAACGTAATTATTAGTTAATTTCTTGGAAACACAAAAGTTTTTAAAGATTGTTTTTTTATTTAATATACTTCCTTCAGAAATTGTAATGCTGCAAAGTTAGCTTTAGTATTCAAAAGGAAATTAAACATGCTCTCCAATGTAAACAATGCTTAGCTTAAGTATCCAAAAAAAATTAAACATGCTCCCGAATGTAAAAAGCTCATTAAAAATAAATAAACAAATGAGACAAATAGAATGGTGAGACAAATATAAACATATTTTCTTATATCTAACCGTTCTTTTTAGAGATCAATACTTTTTCGCGAAATAAACTCGCTAAATGTATCCGTGCAAGAGAATATAATTTTTATCATTAAAATCTATTCAATTAGTAAAATAGTTTATTTTGTTATTGTGTTTTAATAGGTTATTTTGAAGAAACTTTCTTAGCTGGATTTGACTTCTTTGGTTCAAACACGTAATTCATATGCATTCATTACACAAAAAAAGGAATAAATAAATTTAAAAAAAAACATCTATAAAATTTCTTAATTTAAATCTATTATCATTGGTATTAAGGTAATTTGTCAGAAGATAATGCATCTACATTCTGCAGCGTAGAATTCATAAACAATGTTAATAGCAACAATAGTATTCTACTGATGTATTTACTAAAGTAAAATAAATCATGCATAAATTAACTTACCAGCAGGACAAAATCGCCCTTCCGGACCAGCAAATTCAACTAGATTTCTCTTCACTGGAATAGTATCATCCATTAAAGTTAAATGGGCTGGTTGATCAGCTTCGTGATTGGTACCGGTTAGAGCCACTGATGATAGAAGATCGAAGGACACTTCATTATCCGGTTTAGGATATTCTATGGGCGTCGACTCAGCTGCAGATTTCAGCTTCTTATAATCAGGTCCTGTGAACATAATAAATAGAAAATAAATTCCAAAAATATTTTAAAAATTCGGTATTTTTCAAAAAACCTCTTCAAATATAGAAATTGTAGAAATTTCTGCTTACCTCCATGGGAAAAAGTCCACGGCTCCTTTCCACCCATTAACATGGAAAATCCTGAATACATCAAGCCACCGTAAAGTCCAAGAGAAGAATGGAAACTGGGCCTCATGTTTCTTACAGCTTTCAGTTCCTTATAGATCCAACTATTTTTTATTTTATTTGTATATGTTTTCGGTTCTAAACCTTTCGTCGATGAAATATTATTTTCTGCGTCTATAATCGCTTCAACAACGCTTTCTGCAGCCAACATGCCACTTTTCATAGCGTTATGAGTTCCTTTAATTTTGGGCACATTTAGAAAACCTGCCGTACATCCGATAAGGCAACCACCAGGAAATTGAAGCTTGGGAATGGATTGGAATCCACCTTCCACTAATGCTCTAGCACCGTAAGCTATTCTGTAATTAGGAAGAACAAGTGTAAGAATACAAAACCATGTAATCAAAATAAATTTCTTATTACAAATACCAACCTTTTTCCTCCTTCAAATGTTGGTCTAATACTGGGATGTTGTTTAAACCTCTGAAACTCTTTGAATGGAGATAGATAGGGATTGGTATAATCCAATCCTACAACAAAGCCTACAGCAACTAGAGGTATTTCTTCATTCAGATGATATAAAAATGATCCGCCATATGTATTTCTATTAAGTGGCCAGCCAACTGTATGTTCAACTGCTCCAGGTTTATGTTTGCTTGGCTCTATCTCCCAAACCTACCAAAGATATGTTTTATTTTATAAATATATATTTTTGATATTTAAATTTTTTTTAATTTTGAGAAGTAACTTAATAATAACCTCTTTTAATCCAATGCCATATGTCTGCGGCTCACAATCTTTCCTAAGATTCAATTTCTTTGACAATTGTTTTGTCAGATGACCGTGACAGCCTTCTGCAAATATGGTACATTTTGCATGAAGTTCCATGCCCCGTTCAAATACATCTTTGGGTGAACCATTTTTAGCAATACCAACATCATTTGTAGCTACTCCTTTGACTGACCCATCTTCATGATATAGGACTTCTGATGCGGCGTAACCAGGATACATTTCGACCCCAGCAGCTTCTGCTTGTTCACCAAGCCATGCCACAACGTGTCCTAATCTATACATAGATACACGAATATTTACAGTCAAAATACATTCATTACTTATTAATATCTTTTTTTATACATATAATAAATTTTATTCTCACCTTACTATATAATTTCCATGATTATACATTGGCATTCCTTTAAAAATAGGTATAGATATTCTTTTCTTTTCCGTAAGAAATGCAAATTTGTCTTCCGTAACAGGAGTATTTAGCGGTGCACCTAATTCTTTCCAATTTGGAAAGAGCTCATTCATTGCAATTGGATCCAAACAGGCACCACTAAGAATATGTCCACCGATTGTAGATGCCTTTTCAACAAGAGTAACTCTGAGTTCCTTGCCATACTTCTCTGCCAATCGACGAGCCTGAATAGCTGCCGATAATCCAGCTGGTCCGCCACCAACAATTAAAATGTCGGTTTCGTCCACATACCTCTCCATATTTACATCTAGCAGATAAAGAAGATATTTTCTCTCAATTTTTCTCCTAATATTATTTATATTATCTTCAGAAGTAAAAAAGTCAAGATAAATATTTACCTTTCCATCTTGAATCTGTCTCCCTGGGTATTACTGTGTAATGAGTTGTGATTTGAGGATATTTGGCATCCGAATAAGCTCTCTGGAAAATCCTTTGTAGCCTCTGTACTGTCAAAAAAGCAATCAAAATTAAACTGAACATGCAGATTATTGCATTCGAATTAAAGTATTATGTATTACAATAAGTAACACATTTGCGTACTTATATTTGACGATCGCGAAATAATTCATAATAAAATATATATGTATGAGATAAGGAAGAGTATAACAATTCGAGAATTTCAACATAACACTTGCGAAATTTCAGATTTCAAATCCGTACATTTGCGCAGCCGCGATCGATATATCGATCATGAAACTTTAATAAAATTTCGTATTTTCGCAAATAATTTTTTTTCTATTCATTTAATGCGATAATCTGATATATGTATATATATCACCTTTTGTTATTTCAAATATTTATTGACAAAAAATCCATAAGCTAGATCCATTGTTTTGATTGCATTTTTTACACTCTCCTTTAGCATCAAAAAAAAAAAATAAAATATTCTCGTGCTTTATAATAAAAGAATGGAACCGTATGACAAAGTGTAGACACAGTACAGTTGTAGAAATATGACACGGGAGCAAAGTCCACTCGTGTTTATACTGTTCAACTACCTATCGATTAATATATATAAAAGAAGATAGACGAAAGTCTTTATTACATCAAAAAAACAATTAAAGCCAATACTTATGCTTTAAATAATTTCACATTTATTAACGAAACGTACGAATACTATTTAGTAATCATAGAACGAATAATAAAAATATTTACATACGATTGTACAATATATATTCAACATAATCTTCTTAAGCACAATATTATATAACGTACAATATTCGGTCAATTATTATATCTTTCACTATCGTGTGTGTTTCTCGAAAAGACGTTATTATTCGAATAAATATTCGCTTCTTACTTCACGACGGAAAAGCTGAGCGAACCCTAACCAACATACAGTTGACATTATCGAACACTATAATGTTTGCGTAAAGTTATGCGTCGCTGGAAAAATTTGGATGAAACATCGATACACTTACCAGTGCCGGAAGCGCTGAATACGAAAGCCATAATCGCGTACAAGTGCCGATCAGTGACCAGCGATAATCATAAAAAAAAAAAATAAAAAATATATCCACACACTTGTCACCGCGTTCGCTCAATCGCAAGTAGCGCTTGAAAACGTACGTCAAGTGACATCTGTGCTATGTAAGCCGTAAGCCAATAACAATGCGCGTCGATCGCTCGATACGGTTGTTCGATATCTCGAGCTCGAGAACGTTTCGAGATATCATTCCAGTATCGGTGGCACACCTTGACAGAGATGTTTACCTATGTACGTATTCCGCGTCGAGTCATCGCATCGCATGACGATTCCGTACGGCACGTGAACATCTGCATGCTCGCAGTTATGTGCTTCCATTGTGAAAATACAAGTGCTTTATGGTGATAATATGTCAAAACCAAACATAAGGAAGATAACGGCTGACCCTACGAAATGTAATACAGACTCTTCTCGACGGCCGAGTGTGTTTGAGAGGTTGGGCACCAAACCAGCGATCGCCACCACCTCCGCTCAGAATACATCGGATTATTGCAGAAATTGGGCCCTCAACGGCAGTTGTTCCTACGGCAAGAATTGCAAGTGAGCGCTATATATATTTGTTATAAAAATTTGTTACTGAGAAAAATTTTTTTCTGCAAGATGTATATATACTGAGCAATTTCGCAACTAATCAATTATTAGATTTTACATTATTGATTTATATTATTCTTTACTGAAGCAGACTTATTATAGAGTATTGAACTATATGAATTTTCTGTTTCTCTTCTTTAATTAGATACGCAAATACACATACATTGATAAGCCCATCCAAACGTGCTAAGAAAGATAATGCGATCGCAAGTACATCTGGGGTAAGCACATCACATTTCAGTATTTATAATAATAATTTTATTTGACACAGTATTTTTAGAGTCTTTATCATGCAATAGAATTAATCAGAGTTGAAATTAATAATTGTCTAGCTGTAAACTAAGGATTCTTTTTTGATTCTTGATATTATAGCTCATCGAAGATCCTTTCAAACGGCTTACGTCAAAAATCGTGAAAAAAGCATCTCATAGCCCTGATTTAAATATAGAAGAGTGGAATCAAACAGATCTCGAGTACGAGGACGAGAAGGTATTGGAAAGACGGCGGCAATTGTTACAACGAGAACTGGAATTACAAATGAAGAAGGATAAAGAAATACATGGCAAGGATAAAGTAAAGCAGAAAAAAAAGGCTATGAGCTCCTCCTCCAGTTCGCACACTTCCAGTACATCTAGTAGCAGTAGTAGCTCCAGCAGCGAAGACTCATCTTCTACATCAACGTCAGATTCACGAAAGAAAGTCAAGAAAATCAAAACAAAGAGGCATCACAGCGCTTCCACTGATTATGACGAAGATAAAGAAAAGAAAAGAAAGTAAGAATATACTTATATAATATTCTCAAAATTTGATATGTAATATATAATATAATCATGCAACTGCAATCATCTGTAAGGAAAAGATTTCTTATAATTATATTTAAAATAAGTAATCTATATATTATATCATATTTCAACATTAGTTACATCAAATGTTTTACCTCATTGTAGTTCATTAATCAAATTTGTTTTTATGTAACTTACAGATTGAAGCTCAAGAGATTGGGAGCGAAAAACGACAAAGCCGTCAATAAGAAGAAACGTAAGCTTGAAAACAATTCCACAAAGAAAGATCTTACCACTAAGTCAGTCAAGAAGCATACTCCATTATCTGTATCTAGAAAACATTCTAGCTCATTGCGCGCTAGATCACCCGCGATACAACAGGGATCTACGAGTGGGATTACATCTACATCAGCCGTAGTATTGGGCTCGTCGATTTCCGTAGCGCATCATGCATCATCATCTGGCAAAATACGGGAGAGAAACAGAAGCGAATCGCCGAAAGTGATGAAGGGTAATCGGGAAATGGATAAGGAGGACGGCAGGCATTACAAGAAAGTGCGTGACATAGAGGTATGTTTGTCCAAGGATGCATCTAAATACAAGTCGTTCGATAAAATCAAGGAACAACAGGATAAGGAGAAAAGTCGTGCAAGCGATGAGAAGATCAAGTCGGATGACCGGTTGAGATCCAAGTGCATGGATAAGGATGTGCGTTCGCGTACACCACCGCCACCTCTATCATCATCAGAGCGGTCAGCCAAGCATCAGCACATCAAGGAAAGCGTGCCCTCGAAGGCGCGACGTAGCCGAACGCCTGATAAGACACCGTCAAGAGCGAGACGGGATGTCACCCCAGTAAAAAATCCGGAGAAACGAGGCAGCTCATCGAGTCGTGCGAGAGACGCGGAGAAGAAGGAGCGCGACTCACACAAAAGAGATAAGAGCAAAGAGCGGGAGGACGCGAAAAAAAGCGAGCAGATCTCGAGTAATAAGGCGAAGCAGACAACGAATCAAGACGAAAACTATCGCAGGAGTAACGCAAGCAAGGACAATTTTGACGAAAAGACGTACGGTGGCGACAAGACGCGACAAAAGAGTCGCGAAGGTCAGCGCGAAAAAGACATAAGAGAGGAGCGTCACTCGAGATTGACTCGCGATCAGCGCCAGGAACCTCAGCGCGATAAAGATAAGGATGAATCTCAGGAACGTTGCCGTAACGAGAGGCAGCGAGAGCGAGACCGCGATCGGGATCGCGAGAGGGAACGCGAACGCGACAGAGACAGGGATCGCGAGCGAGAACGAGAGCGCGAGCGCGATCGTGAACGGGAGAGAGATCGAGAGACACGAGAACGAGATCGCGATCGAGATAGAGAAAGAGAAAAGTCTATGAAGTCGCGAGAGAGGGACGTACCTACACTGGTTTCGTCCACGACGTTAAATCTTCCGGCGGATAAGAGTTCGCGTTACAGCAGCAGGATGAAGGAACGACCTTTGAGTAAGGACGTGTCGTTTGAAAAGAACAGCGGGGTTCGCGAGCGAAGCAGAAGCGAACGCGAACGGGAGCGATCCGAGACGAAGGCTCTCACTGAACGGGAACGAAATTCGACGCAATCGCGTCTGGATGGAAGGTATGAAAGAAGTGGCGCCATCGAAAAGGACGCCTCGTCCTTAAATCGCAGTAAGTCAAGCGTAAATTCACCGCGAGATCGCATGGACCGTTTTCGAGAGACATCCTTGGACCGTACGCCTTTACACGACAAGGGTGGGCATACTGTGGCATCGTCAAGCGTCCAATCAACGGCGTCTTTACCGCTGGTGCCTACGACTTCGTCCTCGGCGATTGTGACATCCGCTCCACCGTCGTCTCGCGATCATTTGATGGACATAGTGGACAATCACTATGATAGGGATCGGCACGGAAGGAGGTTTGGCATGAGATACGAACGAGGACACGCATCGGAACACAACAGCAGGAAGGATCAGACGCGAATCGAACCGAATCGTATTCCGAACAAGATCGATCGGATAGTGGATCGTCGGGACATGACTAGTCCACGACGCGCCGTGGAAGTGGACAGGAATTTCGGTAGAAATTACGGCAGGATGCCGGAGCATTGGGATGAGCAAGAAGAGTCAGCCCTTCACGTGGAATATCGCGATCACACTCATATTCACGATGATGACAGGAGAAAAACCGTCGAGGGCAGACGGTATGACAGTCCTTTTGAGGAGAGACGCGTCGCTCGCGAGGAGAGATCTAAGGAGTCGAGGTACATGATCCAGACTGCGGAGCGAACGTCCTTTGATGATCACCGTCATCATCACCATCATCATCGACATCCTCTCTATACTGGCGATAAGCTGAGAAATAGTGGAGCTGGAATTAGGTAATAATTAACACATACGTAATAATCAGTATAAAAAAAGTGTTATACTCATTTATTTTTATCGTGCTTTATATGAAGAATATTGATATTATACAAAATATTGAATTACTTTTCTGTAAACATGTAGCTTTTCACTTATAACGTTGAAGCAAAAATTGCAAACTGATAAATAGTGTCAAAAAATTTTTCAAGTTCTCATTTTTTAAATGTTAGTTTTATTAACATTTATATGGACAATATATATATATATATATATA